CTCTCTCATACTCTCTCTCTCTCTCTCTCTCTCTCTCTCTCTCTCTCTCTCTCTCTCTCTCAAACACACACACACAAAAGCTTTCAAAAAGAAAATAGCAGCTATGGTGTTCATGTGATACAGCATCTGCCCTCTAGTAATGAAAGTTCAAATCTTCCCATGCTTAGCATGTGACCCCACTTCTACAAACCCTTCTCTGTGTGATGTTTAAGCTGATTTATTCCATGTGAGTTTCTAACAAGTTGTTGCCTAATTAATTGGTACAAATACTTCCTTATATTAATACACTTTCCTGTGATCCAATGTCTCTCTGGACACTTAATACTTCTTTGTTATCAGCAAAAACATTAGCATTATTTTAAAATAATTAACCATACAACTTATCTAGCAAATTCCTTAACTTCTCTTAATAGTTCCTTATCTGTGAAAAGAGGATAATATTTCCTGAATTCCACGACTGCTGTAGTGATTACAGCTAATTATTTATGAACATAAAGGAACTATCACTGGACTTAGCACCACAGTGTGCTAATCCCAAGAAGTCTCTGCTTTCTAGTTTCTATACTTTTATTTTTCCATTTTAATATTCTTGGCAAAGAGATTTATAATTTAATTTTGCTCTTTTTATTAAAGTATCAATACATGGAAATATGTATCATTTATATATTTATTGCATATGTTGGGGTGAATGGCAGAATCTCCCTCAAAAATGTTTCTCTATATTTTTGTGTCTCCAGGTACAGATTTAATAAAGTTAAGAATTTGGATGATTAATTTCACAACTAAAAAAAGAAACTGTTCTTTTCAAGCTAAAAATAGGCTGTAAAGAAACTATTCTCACAAGGCTATATTTAGTTGAATTCAGAACTAGCAAAGATAAATGGAGATATTTTATTATATATTCTCTACTTTTCAGATACTTTAAAATTATTTCCTTTTAGAAATCATTCTTGAGATTTCTTTACTCTCAAAATGGGTATAAAGCATGATTCTGTATCTTCAGCTTTTTTTTTCTGTATTTTTGTACGGAAGATTCTACAGGGTGTTCAGGGTCTCACTACTAGATAGGACTCGGTAGTGAGCCACTTGTTTCCAGCCTCCCAAGACCTGGGATTACAGGCACACACCACCACACCCAGTCTCAATCACTGGAGCGCACCCTGGGGGTGGGGCTGGCACAGCTGGTCAGGGGATCGAAGCCCCTGCCCCTGCACTTGCTTGCAGACACTTTAATCTGCTGAGCTATTTGGCCAGCCTTTGTATCTTCAGTTTGAAAATCTGAAATGTGAAAAATATTCTAGCTTGATTTACTTTTATTACACTTCACATGTATAAGTATAAAATATATTTATTAAATAATTATCAAAGTAGATACTGTGCATGCATCTAATTTTGGGCATCAGCCTCTTAGGTGGGTGCACATCTGCAATCCCAGCATTCTAAGAGGCTGAGGCAGGAGAATCACAAGTTGATGCCCAACTCAGGCAACATAGGTGCTTTGCCAAGACCCTGTGTCAAAAAATAAAAGTGCTAGCTTCAGCAGCATATCTCCTAAAATAAAAAGTAAAGAGAGCTGGCGATATAGTTTGGTGTAAAAGGCTATGGGTTCAATCCCTAGTACTAAAAAATGAATAGAAAAATAAAAAGTGGTTATACTGACCTGTGTACTTTGTGGGTGGCTGGAACTTTGGTACATGCTAGGCAATAGGTTCCTATGTCACTGCCTCTAAGTGAGCACTATCTCTAGCAAGCTGTCCTGCTAGATATTTTGCATTGCACTAACAGTTCCTTGCTGGAGGTCTCCACTGGGAGAGGAGATTTGGAGGCATATATCTGGTTTCCTTCAAGTTTTGCCCCATTTGCCTTTTCCCTTTATTGATTTTGTTTTACATACCTTTTGTGTAGTCATAATTCCTATAACTTTTCCTATAAAATCAAGAATATTGACATAGTCTTCAACACCTCCCACATTAAAGCCATAGTCTTTAATCAAAACATCTTCTCTTAGCTGGGTGTAATGGTGGACACCTGGCATCCCAGTACTGTGGGATGCTGCTGCAGGAGGATCACAGAAACTTAGTGAGACTCTTATCTATTCAAGATAGATAAGATAGATAGATAGATAGATAGATAGATAGATAGACAGATGACTATGGATATAGCTCATCACTGGACTGAAATAAAAGTTACTTCTCAGGCTTTTTTACTTTCAATTTTTTTAAAAAATAGTATACCACTTAGAAATAGAAGTAGACTAAGTCTTTAAGATTGACAAATACTTTACCAAAGTAACAACCTGTTTAGCAGGTGATAAAAAAAGCTAATCTTAAGCTAATTATGAAATAATTTAGATTTTCTCCTAGATGATAATCTGTTTTATAAATACAAATTTTAAACTATTTGCAATGGAGTATTATTTCTTAAGATATTTGAAAATCTTCACTAGTCTACTGACTTTATCAGCTTTCCTTAGAAAACAATTTCTCATTAGAGATTGACAATCAAGCCCATTTATTTTAATTTCAAAATGTAGTATTTTAAAGATGTCTTATTTTCAGTCTTGGATAACATAAATATATCGAGTCACACTGACTTCACGCATTTCTTAAAGTCAAAGTCTTCTTAGAGGACAATTCTGAGCTCTTTAAATTGCTCTCAATTACTCAACATTATTTCCAGTGAAAGAGAACTTACATTTTTTTGCAGTGTGGGCATTTCGCCAGAGTGTTGAACCTTAATTCCATCCACTGTAAAATAAATAAAGAGAAGGGACTGAAAAGAAAAACAACTGAAAACTCCAATCTGATAAAATATTTCTTTTAGTTCAAATGTCATGAGGCTCAGAGCAGAAGCTATCAATCTTCTCATGGTTACATCAGTTCCCCCTCCGACAGTTCTCTGCTCCCCTTATAGTTTGAGACACCCTGATGAAACTTTTCCCATGACTTCTCCAACGCTTTGATGCAACCTAGATTTGTTTTACAATGAATATAATGCCCTACTTAGGGTCACCTCTGAACATTTCAGGTCATTTCCAGGGTATTTTACTTACCTTCAAAGTTGTTTTGCCTTTTAAGTTTTGAGAAAAAATCTTTTAAATAATGGAATATTTGGATGCATTACTAGCTATTGTTTAAAGTAGTAACACTAATCTATGTGAATATATTTTGATGAATACAATAGACATAGATGACACTTTGAAGTGTGTTGAAGTGGATAAAAAATGCTTGAACATGCAACATTAAAAAAAAAATCTCACAAATTAACAGTAATGGATACTGAAAGTGCTAAAGATTACTCCATAAAAATCTGTTTACTTTATATTTTAGCAATTCTTAGTGATCATAGAATTCTTTACTTATAGGACACTGATAAGTATTGTATTAAAGAATGTGCCATTGACCATTTTGAAAAACACAAATCTAGCTTTTCTAAATGGTTGTCTATGGTTCTAGTCAGGCTGTGAATAGTGTGAATAATATGAGTTCCTAACAAAATGAACTTTACCCTTATAACACTGGTATATTAAAAGATTATTTATAAACACAAAGATGCTATTGAAAACATAGTTTATTATACTGTTCTATCTTCATTGTGGCAAGATTTTCTTGCAGGTCTCAGAATTCGAGAAATAACTTTTTCTTTGTGACTTTTTTGTTAAAATATTAATATCTCATAATAGATCACTTTCCTTCTTCATTGATTCTGAAAAACTTGGAACTAAATTCAGCTTAGTTTTATCAACATGCAGGACTAAATACTATGCATACTTATATTCTTATACAGAATTTCATGTTTTATTTCTTGTACTATTTTTTATTCTCTTAGCTTTTTTCATATTTTATTTTCAATCCTATTAAACTGAATGTGTCTTTATAATTTGTGGCAGTTGCTGTAGAGCCATGTAAATCCAAGACTTGCTACAAAGCTGAAATAAAGTAGGGAATAAAGAAATGAACTCTGCAAATGAAGTTCAAAGAGCAAAGGATATATTATAAAAGATGTCACAGACTGATCATGATCAGCATAACAATATTGAGGCTGCTAATCAGACTGAAGAACCTTGTAGTGAATGTTTTCTTTCTGACACCGATGCCTCTTTTCCTTTCTTTTTCCAGCTGAACTCAGGGCCAAAAGCATGCTAGTCCTTTGCCACTGAGCTGCACTCTCAGCCCCCCTGAGCACGCATTAATCTAAAATGGCCAAAAGCGTTTCCTGTACTTTAGGTATCGACTGTATTACCCTGATCACCAAAATCTGTTTTCCAGAAATAAAAAAAATCACCTTTAAATATTATATTTTTAATCCAAGTATCTTTTCCTTCTAAAAGTTAAAGTTTTTGATCATAATTACTAATAGGACACATTAATATCATACCTGCACTTTCCTGCACTAAATACTAAGTGAGAGCTAAGTTTAGAAGTATCTTCATATTGCTTATAATTTACTTCTGAGATAAAAATATCTAAATGCATAAGTGATTTTTAAAATAATAAAAATCTGTACATGCATATTTATTTAAACTCTTTGTTTGAGTCATTCTCTAGAATTCACTGTGAGATGCTTCTAAAAAAAAATCAAAGATAAAACCTTGTAACTTTTCGATTTTCCCTTTTCCTGATTCCCTTTTCTGTATTGACTGTATTGCCAATGCTCTCTCAGATTCTTTATTGTATTCCTGGTCATCACCACCACATTTCTGAATAATCAAAGCCGAACTCTGAGCCCAGGCCCCTGACACTTTTCCCTGTGCATTTCCCCTATTCAAGCAGCCACATGTACTCAATTAAGTGTAAGACTCATGTACTGCTTTCCGTTACTCTAAGAGGAGGGCACTTTTGGGCTCAGTGCTCCTGTGTGTGGACTAAGAACGCTATACAATCCCCTCTGCTGTAGTCTAAACACATTTCATGCAATTCTGCTTTTAATTTCTTTCTCCTCCTATTAGATTAGAAAATGTCATGAAAACAGATTGCACTGCCTATTCAACCACTGATTCCTTGGAAACTAAACCAGCATCTGATATAAGTACATAGTACAAGTAAATGTAACCAGCTCATTTGTAATGTGGCTACAGAATTATTTGCAATTATTCACTCTAAGGATTTGGAATTTAAATCTAACAAGGCAGAATGGAGGGCAGTTGTGGAAAAGAAGTCCCTGAGTACATTGAAAAGAAACCTATTTTGAAGACTTTTAAATGATATTACTTTCAGACTAGAATTTTTTCATGTATAAAAAAGGATAACAAATGTTTAACATATTTAGTTCAGTCAATTCACTTTGTATTTACTGGTTTCTGCTGAACTTAGCAATCTACTTTAAATTAAAGTGATTTTTGAATTTTTTTGGCTATCCCTCCAACTATATTTTCTAGTTTATGTAGTCATTGCTTTAATCAATAAAATACAAATGCAAAGAAGTAGATTTATATTATCCTACTATGGCATAAAATCCTAGAAATTCTGATTAAACATAGTATACTGAATAAATGCATGTATTTCTATTTCCTTCTCTGAGCCTGACTAAACCGATAGAACGTGAATTTAAAAATTAATATTACTAGGGGCTGGTGAGATGGCTCAATGGTCTAAAGCACCTACTTAGAACAAGCTTAGCAAAGCACAGGGACCATGGTTCAATCCTCCAGCACCACATGCCAGCCAGCACCACCCCCCTGGTGGGCTGAGCTGGACACACACACACACACACACACACACACACACACACTAAATAAATAAATAAATAAAATTTTAAAAAATTAATATTACTATAAAGACAAAGAAAAACAGATGAGAAATGGTTTCCAACAAATGAACAGTGGAAAGCAGTCTAAGATCTAGCAACTGACTTAGTGAAAGAGCTGTAGAAACTTAGCTGTCTACAGGGAGATATGCTGATGAAAGCAGGTTGCTTCACAAAGAGAGTCACACATTTCTTCAGCTATTGGGATTACCAGGTGCTTTTAGAGAGGAGTTAGCATTGGGGATAAAAGCAAGGAATAACACACTCCTATGTAACAACACAATTGTCCCTAAAACAAATGGCTAGATCAAGAAATTATGGTATAAGCTGAGGTGCAGTGGCACATGTAATCCTAGCTATTTGGGAAGTTGAAACAGGAGAAAACCAAGTTTAAGGACAGCCTGGGCAACTCAGGGAGAATTTACTCAAAATAAAAAATAAAAGACTGGAGATATAGCTTAATGTGAGGCCCTGGATTCAATCCCCAGTACCACCAAAAAAGGATGATAAGGAGGAGGAAGAGAGGGGCATGAGGAAAACAGGAAAGAAAAAAGAATTGTGGTACATGTATAGATTAAAATTATTTAGTCTTTTAAAAAATGAAATCCTGTCACTTGTGACAACACAGGCTAACCTACAGGACTTTATACTAAATGAAATAAGCCAAATACAGAAAGATAAACACCATATGGTCACACCTACATGGAGAATTTAGCTAATCAAACTCAGAAGCAGAGAGTAGGTTCATTGTTGCCAGAGGCAGGAGGAAGGAGAGAGAAAATGAGGGGAGATTAGTCAAAAATTACAAATTATCAGGCAGGATGAATAAATTCTGGAGATCTAATACTCTGTGTGGGAACAATGGTTAACAATATTGGATCACTTACTAACAAGGCACATCTTCAGTGTCCTTCCCACACATCCAAACAATGGTAATGATACACTAACTAGCTTGATTGTGGTGGGTCATTTCACAATATATAATATATATAAAAACACCAAATTATACACCTTAAATATATACAATTTCTACTTGTCAATTATATCTCAATAAGACTGGAAAAGAAATAGTAGCAGTATTGGTTGTGAATACCACGAAGCCAGAAAGACCCTCCCAGTACATGCAAAAGAAGGGAGGTTTATGCTGGAGAGAAATTAAACTAGAAAGCCAGTACACTTAAGAATACAAGTCACAACAAAAGGCAAGAATCAAAAGCCATCCTATAAGCCAAGAAACTAAAGTCTACATCTTGAATATGAGTAAGAGCTTCACTCTTATTACCTCTCTTGGCTCCTAGAATGTTATCTCAAGGCATATTGTCCACAGAGATTAGAGAGTGCTTCCCTATAGAAACTTGCCACACACACAAAAAAACCAAAAACCTTCTGAATACTAACATATGACAGCCCTTCTAAAAAGAGGGAAAAAAAAAAGCGAAACTGAAAAAAGATGGAAAAAAGTAGCCCACTCCTCATCTGCATATACAGAGATTCCAATCCGTTACCTGCTCTTAAATATGAGATTTTTAATAAATCTGCCATCACAGAAAAATGGGGAGAAAATAGAGATCAAGCATAGAGAAGAATACCTCAGAAAGAATATCACCAATATTTTCTGAATGATGACATAAAGATGATAATGGTATAAAGGAGAAGATTAAAGAACCAAGTCTTTGAAAATTAAAAAGTCAGAATTATCTAGAATAAAAATTATTAAGTTTAGAAGATACAGTTGACAGATTTTCCCAGTAGGTGAAACCAAAAGGCAACATTAAAAAGCAAATGTTTTTTAAAACATTCAATTATCCATTCAGGTGGTCTAATGTAAGGAGTTCCAGAAAGAGGAAACAAATAAAAGGGAGTGACAACTTAGGGCCCACTGAGCACGTACACAGAGAGTTCCAAAGACCCTCACTAAGGCACATCCTCGTGAAGTTTTGGAATGCTGATGGACATGAAAGAGGAGAAAGGACAATAAGAGAACATAAAAAGAAAGCAATAGACAATCTAGAGATGATTAGAAGTGAGAATAGCGGTCCCCTTTCCATGAGGTGGCAAGCTACATGTCCACATCTGGAGTAATCAAAGTGACATGACAGCAAATACAACAACATCTAAGACATAAAAGGGTTCAAAAGTATTTCCTTCTTTCTTGCTCAGAAAGCAGAGAGGCTGTGCTGCAACAAAGTGAACAAATAAACCAAGAACCTATAAAGATAGCATGGGATCAAGACCAGGAAAGGGACAAAGGAATTTTTCAGGACAGTGGTGAAGGGAAGTTTCAGGATGACTGCTGTGTAGCAGGAAGCTTGAATAACAGATTATCTAATATGTTTGATTACACTGACTAGAACTTTGTAGTCCGTAGGAGCATAGGGAGAAATAATGACTAAAACATGGAAAATGAAATCCTAAGGAAAGGAACGACTATATATCTATGAAAATGTTAAAATCCATAGGAGAAAAAATGTACACTATTACTGGGATCACCTGTGAACACAATATACTTAATCAAATGAGTAATTATATTATATGTTATATAACTTTACTGGGAGTATGGAAATAGGGAAAGGAATATGAATGGGAGGGTAGGATGAGTGCTAAATCTCCAACTTGCATTTTATTTTATTTTTATTTATTTTGCACTACTGGGGATTGAACTAGGACCCTTCACTTGCCAGGCAAGTGCTTATTCTACTGAGCTATCTCCCCAGCCCCCGAACTTGCATTTTAAAGTTAGTGGATAATGTCTAAATTGCTTAATCAAAAATAAAAAGAATAAACAAATAGAATATATGGAAGTAAATAGCAGAGCAGCTGATAGAGTTGAAAGTGGGGGATAACTGGGAGTCAGCTAGGCGAGAATTCTATAGTCTGATCTGACGTTGGGAGTTATCCATATGAATTACTTTAATAAAAGTAATGAAAAAGAAAACAAAGCATCTATGCTTTCTTAGCTCACTCATTCCTCAGTTATATCAGGTTTTGTTGATGGAGTCTCATGTTGACACTCTAGAAGGTCCTGTACTACTGAAGTTATAAACAAAAGCTTTTGTCTACTATTAAGGTAGAACAACAAAAGAAAATCTGTTCTACCCTTCCTGACAGGGTAAATCACTTTGAAATTAACTTTTTAAAAATCAAATTGCACTAGAAATTAAAAGTAATGAAGCAACAACTTTAATAGCTCTTTCTAATATTAAATTACTTACCTTACTTTTAGCTAATGACTTATTTAACTGTAGATACCACAGTTAATTTCCTATACTCCAAGAATAACTTTTAAAAATGAGAAAATTTTGATACATTTTGGTAATAGATATTCTTAAATCTAAAAGCCATGAAATAGGGCTACTTCATAAGATTGTACACTTTGTATTCTACTGAGTGGGTGAAAAGATTCATTTTTTCATCATGTCAAGATACCAGATAGCTAAATGTAGAGAGAGCATAGTTTTTCATTGGTTTACTCAAAGAGGCATCTACTTGCAACCAGACCAATCAGAGCATGTTTTGTCACAAAAGATGCTACATGTCCCAGTTGTACCTCTGATTACTTTAACCTTACTAAGTAAGGCTCTATTTTAAACTTGTGGTTAACTTCACTCACACAAACTTATGACATTAGCAGTGGTGAAACCACTAAAAGCACATCTAACACCCTACAAGAAATTCATGATATTCTATGATAAATGTCCAGTTACTTACCAGGAATGTGTTGCCACAGTGCCCACACACAACCCTTGTACCTTCTGGTTGGACTGGCAATGCAGGTTGAGCTGGTTGTTCTTCAGAAATAAGCATTACCGGACCAAGGTTAATTATGCGTCTACTGTGGAAAGAAAAGGGAAGCAATTTCATTATCCCACAAATGGACTGAGGGTAAAACCTGCAGTGTATGAAAAAATGAATATTTCAATTAAAATATGTCATTTTTTATAAATTAAGCATCAGGTTGTGGATTCAAGTCACAAAATGTAGTAACAGCAAGTCCTTCAAAGGAAAAAAAAAATTATATTGGAACAGAGACCATATATCACTGCATGGGTCCTAGTCAGTAATCTTGGGAACCATTTAGCTGCCATATCCAAGTTTTATAAATTCAAGTTAGAAACTGTTCTTATTCCCTACCTAGGAAGGCAAGTTGAGTCTGACAGAAAGTATAAAATTTCTATATTAACAAAAAATGAGTATGCCATGAAAGTACCAAAGTGCCAAGTTACAATACAGTTCCTATAAGCAGCCGGCATTCCTCTATGCCCATTTCATCAGAAATGGAATACGAGCTACCATTCCTTTATTACTCCAATCTATCGTCAGACAGTACTCTCAAAATTCAGATATTCATCAAAAAGCCAGACAAATCACTGAAGGAAACCGCAGTTAGATATACCACAGTGCTTATAGATTTGTACTGAAGCACATCCATAATGGCACTGGACATAGACAAATAATTCCAGACTTATTACTTATACTACATTCACTGGAGACTAGTATAACTTATAAGAAACATAAAGATAACTAAAATATTTCTGGGTTAAAATTCAGTGTATCAAACAAACTCGTTCTAAAAAATAAGCTCCCTGAGTCACCTCTGACCTTCAAATTCTAAGTACATCATACTTTAAAAACAAAATAACCCTCATCTAGATGCTGTAATCATTTTGAAGACAAAGATCTACAGCAAAGCATGACATGTGATGAGCCTTTAATAAATAATTTGTTGAATGAACAAATGAACGAATCTTTAGCTCTTACCAGTTGGGTCTCGGACATCCTATTCGCCGAGATGTGTCTTTACAAATGAGGAGACAATTACAGGGGCATCTAACATATTTCTTCCCTGTTGGGGGGTTTTTGATTGGCTAGATAAGGGAAGAAAATGTAAACAGAGCAAATTAACCAAAGAGCAGATTGTCAAAGCTTTTTTGTGTTTAAAACGGAAATGATTCCTTTAAAACTAAGATTTCCTTAGTGCTACCAAGTACAGTATAAGAAAAGTGCACATCAAGTTATTTTGAATAGCACAAATATTATTAAGCATTCTAAAATTAAGGGGAGGTATGAAAATTTAATTAATATGAGCATATTTCAAAATTATGGTGTATTGGTGTCTTAATAGGAGAGAACTATTTAGCACACACCAGTTGTTTTTCCAAAATTTACAAGACCAGGTTATTTAACTAGCCAGGTACAAGCACTCAGAGAATTCTTGTACCTGTGCAGGAAGAACAAGCTTAATCAGAATTGCAGAGGAGTATTCCACTTCAACAAGTAGGTCTTTGATACCTTTTGATCTGACCTAGTGTGAGGTCTGAGATATGAGTCCTGATTCATTCTCCTATACTTGTATAATCAGTTTTCCCAGTACCATTCTTTAAAAAGGCTCTCTTTTTCTAAGTATAAGTTTACAGTCTTTGTCAAAAATCAGAGATTAAAAGTGCCTGGGGTTGTTTCTACATCCTCGGTTCTATTCCATTGATTCAGATGTCACTTTTGGTGCCAGCACCATGCTGTTTTTTATCACTGTGACTCTGAAGCATAACTTTATATCCGGGAATGTCATGGTTCTTCCTTTACTCCTGCTCAGGATCACTTTAGCTATTATGGATCTCTTCTAACTCCACATAAACTTTAAGAGCATTTTTCCTAGTTCTGTGAAGAATGCTGGTGAATTGTATTAAATAAATATATAAACATATAATTGAATTAAATAAGTTATTAAAATACATCTAATATATTGACATTGGGAATATGCAGATAATTCCAGAACTTATTACTTATATTCTGTTAAGCAGAGACTAGTAAAGCATATAAAAAGCTAAAACATTTCTAGGTTAAAACTAACTATATCAGGCCAGGAAGATGGTCTAGTGGAATAAGCACTTCCCTGGCAAGTGCAAGGGCCTGAGTTCAATCCCGTGTTCCGCAAGAAATAAATAAATAAATTAATTAATTAATTAAATTAAATCAACTGTATTATATATATTACATATAATATATAAAGTAAATAATTATGTACATAATTTTTGGTAATATGGCCATTTTTATAATATTGGCTCTGCCTATCTAGGAAGATGGGATATTGTCCCATTTTCTTTCTTTTTTTTTTTTTGCAGAACCAGAAATTGAACTCAGGCCCTGCCTCTTGCCAGGAAAGCGCTTATTCCACTGAACCATCTCCCCAGCCCCTGTCCCATTTTCTAATGTCCTCTTCTATCTCTTATTTTTCAGAGCATTATGGTTTTTGTTAGATAGGCCTTAGTTACTGTTTTTATAGCTATTGTGAATGGGATTGTTCTCTTGATTTCTTTCTGAATGGGTTTTGTTATTGTATATGAACAATACTGATTCTTGTGTATAGATTCTGTATTCTGCTACTTTGAATTTATTTAAATAGTTCTAAGACTCTTCTGGTTAAGTGTTTTGGGTTTTCTGTGTGGTGGATCATGTTACATGTGAATAAGGGTAGTTTGACTTCTTCATTTTCTATTAATCCAATTTGCATCTTTCTCTTTTCTAATTGTCCTGGTTAAAGCTTCAAGTAGTGTACTAAGCAGAAATTGTGAGAGTGGACATGGTGGCCTTGCCTGGTTTAGAAGGATTGCTTTCATCTTTGCCTTATTTAGTGCAATACTAGAAGTAGGTTTGTCACAAAGACATAGATATTAAAACAACCATTAAATTTGCTGGAAAATAAAAATAGGTAAAACCCTTGAACAGATAGGCATAGGTAAAGCATTCTGAATAGAACCTCAATTACAATACTAAAAATCAACAAATGGAATTATACCAAATTAAACAACCCACAGAGTAAAAAAAAAAAAAACAAACTTAAAGAATAGAAAATCATTTTGTCAGATACCCCTGGAATAGCAGATTAATATCCAGAATATATAAAAAATTCAAAAAAAATTAGATCCCTTCTAAATAAAAGAGACTATCAAAAAAATGGGCAACTGAAGTAAACATTTTTTAAAAGTTCAAATGATCAACACACAAAAAATGTTCAGCATCTTTGGTTATTAGAGAAATTCAAACTAAAACACTAAAATTCATCTTAAGAAAGAACAGGCTCATAAAGAATCAAAAAACAACAATGTCAAAGTTGTAAGAGAAAAGGAACTCTTCTACATGTTGGTGGGAATGTAAACTAGTACAACCACTATAGAAATCAGAATAGAGATTCCTGAAAAAACTAAAAATAGAAATTCCATTTTATCCAGCTGTACCTTTTCTGGCTATCTTCCTGAAAGAGCTACAGACATCACAGTACAGTGCTACCTACATTCCCATGTTTATAGCAGCAACACTCACAAATAGCTATATATTTTCTGGATAAAGGGAAATTGTACCATGAGACCATAATGCTGATGAAATAAAATACAGAAAGTTAAATATTTCATGGTTTCTCTTATTAAAAGCAAACAGACAAAAAAGACATGATAGTAGTAGGGAGTCAGACTTTGTGGAGACAGGGAGGGGATCTGAGGGTACAGAGACAGGGGAGGGAAGAAAAAAATTTAGTATGTATATGTTATCAATTCCCCAAGATTAATGTAATTATTATATGTAATAAACATATACCAATAAATTTAACAGAAGGGAAGGAGTTCATTACACACTTGGACTTTTTGTAAACTACTCAATACGGTATAAGAAGTAATTTTTTTGATATATTTTAACTTTAAAACTTATAAATGCTCTTAAAACTAGCATTTTAAAAAAATGTATTTTGTGTAGTGTCTACAGGGTCTCACTATGTAGATCAGACTTGTAGTGATTCTCCTGATTTCAGCCTCCCAAGTGCTGGGATTACAGGCACATGCCACCACACCCAGTCTCAATCGCTGGCAGGGCACACCGCAGGGGATCCAGCCCAGCCACTACACTCTGCCTAAGCAGGCACTTTAGTCTGCTGAGCTGTTTGGCCAGCCCTTTTTTATTTTTATTTATTTATTTTTTAATACTAGCATTTTTTTTTTTTTTTTTTTTTTTTTTTGGTGGAACCAGGGATCAAACTCAGGACCCTGAACTTGCCAGGCAAGCACTTATTCTACTGAGCTATCTCCCCGGTCCCAAATACTAGCATTTCTTTAAAAACAAATTCATAGTCAATTTAAAAGAGAGAATAAGTAACATAGAAAACATTCCTTGAGATAGTAGAATTCAGGCTTATTAAACTAAATCTATGATACACTGAAAAGAATAGAACATCAGAATTCTTATACAATTCTGGCCAAGAAGATAACATGAAACTAACCATGAGAAAACATCAAAGTCAAATTGAGAGACATTGTATAAAATATTCTGCTTTACTCTTCAAAAACTAAGAAAAGCAAAAAGCCAGTTTCAAAGAAGAGGAAATTAAAGAAAGATGACAAGCAAATTGAACATTTGATCATCATTTGAATCCTGGAGGAGAATTTGTTTTATACTAATGTGACAATAGGGAAGTCTGAATTACATCAAAAGATTACAAAATAATATACTAATTTAATTTACATTTAACAGTTGCACTATAATTGTGTAAGTGAAAATCCTTGTTTTTAGGAAACATACACTAAAATAAGATTATTTAGAGAGGAAAAGCCACTGCTATAAAATGCTAACACTGGTAAATGTGAATGATGAGAATATAAGAATTTTTCACACTGTCTACAGATGGTCCCTGAATTATGCAATGGCTTGACTTGTGGTTTTTAAAAAATTTCTCCATAGTGTGAAATTGGTATACATTCATTAAAAATCACACTTAGAGTTTTGATCTTTTTTTGGGTGTAGCATACTTTCTGAGGAGGTGGGCAGAGCAGCAAGCCACAGTGATAACAAGGAGAAGCAAGCCATACTGTACAGTGTTCTATGTTAACCTAGGGTGATGAGCAGGTTCAATGTTTTTTCATTTTCAACTTACAATATTTTTAATTTAAAATGAGCTCTCTTTCAGTAAGAGAGCTGTACTGATGCAGTACTGATGAAAGAAACATAGGGGTACATTATTGCTAAGATAAGCAGCTCTTTGTTTTTTCGTTTTTTGACGGGGGCGGGGGGGGGCGGGGATTGAACTCAGGCCCTTGCACTTGCCAGGGAAGCACTTATTCCACTGAGCCACTTCCCTGGCTCTTTGTTATTATTATTTTATTTTGAGGT